TATATATATATAATCTCTTCTGCACTCATGCACTTCAGTGTGGTGCTTTGTAGATGGATACCCACCTTCATCACTGCATCCAGGTCCCATGCATGGCTCAAAGTCCTGAGTGTGTGGACAGGGAACACTCAGGTCCAACTGGGCTTTCAGCATCCTCTGCCTCATCCGTCTACCCTTTTCACAAGTGGCCGAGCTGCAAGCAGACCACGGAGACCAGTTGGAGTAGATGCATGTTTCAGGAGTATCATCTGCAATGTAAAAAAGAGAAGGGGTGCACTCTGGTGGTCTGCCACTACTTTAGTATAAATGCTGTTAGAAAGAAAATAAGTGCAGGATCCTTACCTTCTTCCTTCTCCTCCTGGGCAATGTCTGCTACAATGTCATCTACATTATCGGGCACAATGTTGCACTGTTCACCCTGAGGACACACAGACACGGTGATATCATTAAAGGAGTAGACTCTGTTGGTTCTTGTACTGATTCCCCGGGACATGTTCCCACAGCAGCCTCTAGATGCCACTGAAGGACTGCAAACTTTTGGTTTTGTTCTGTTTTGCACACTGGATTTCCCAGACTGTTTCTCCTCCCCTCGAAAAAAAAATCAAATTAGAATGAAATCATCTCATTAAAAATGATTTAAATAAATGTAATATGATACAACTTCATTTTGTATTACTTTGGCGTTCCCGGATAAGTCACATCATAGGACATTTGAGGGATTTTTGTCATTTGCCGTGCTTAATGTAGTGTGTCCCCCAAAAGTATAAAAGTGAAGTAGAAGAAGATTAAAAGTATAATCACTTATATTTCAGGCATTTAATTTTAACTTCAAATCATGGCAATAAGAAAAATGTAGAATCATTTTAGATTGTGATTTATGTATGCCCCCAACATGATATACAAAGTTAGACTTAAAACATCTTGATTCTGGCAAAAATACATATAAGCCTCTGTTTAATCAGCTTTGTGTGATGCTTTGAATCAATAACAATCTGGTTACATGTAAACAAACATTACATCTGTACATTGAAGACTCAGTCACTTTTTACTAAACACTTGTGAAACTGGAAACTAAGCAATCTTTGCCATCACTGTTTTTGCAGGTTTTATGGACAATGTTGTAGTCTGTGATTCACAAGGCATTTTTTGGTCTTGTCATGTTATTTGTTGTCACTCTGATAGAGATAGAGCTTAGGTTCATGTATGTATGAACATTACCTGGCCCTTTTGCTCACAAGGTCTAAACAAAGTGAGCATTTTGTGGCGTTTCTAATAGGAGTGTATCCTAATGCATCACAATGAGCCAGATTTAAAAAAAAAATCTAAAAAAGTTGAGTCAGGTCCTCTTTTTCATTGAAATGTTTTGTTTCTTCTCCAAGAGACACCTTCAGTTCAGTTGAGGTGTAAATCACCTTTTTTCACATTATATTACTATATCGATTTGTCTGGATGACGATACAATGTTTCTCGATATCACAATRTTTACTGTGATATGATTTTGATTCAATTCAACTCAAGTCTGCAATCAATATGATGCAAACGATATCATATGCCCGTCTAATACAATGATTGTTAGATGGGCATGTGGCATCAATCCACGTCAGATGTATGGATCTGTGTTTTTGTTTATTTTTGATATAACTGCCATTAATTCTTTAATCGATTTATTGATTTGGATCGATGTATTGTTCCACCCCACGTTTTTAATACATCATCATGTTTTTGCAGCATTATGATGATTTTGTTTGTATGTGCTGGGACCTTATTTCTTTTCATGCTCTGAGTGTGAAGCAATCATTTTAAAATTTGAATACMATAGCATTACAGTAACAAACTGCAGGCAGTCTGATAAAATGGTGTGTGGCAGCTGGCCTTTCTCATACTGTAATAATGCATCAAGGGTTATTGAGATCATTTGAGTTCAATGTAGTTCACAGTTGTACAACCCATCTCTTACTTAAAGGACACATCCTGCAAAAACTGTAGTGGAAAGAAGTGAAGGATCCAGCTTTCTAAAATATGTGAAATGATACCATGAACATCTTATACTAATATATTGTGCTGTTGCATCGTTGGAATAATTATGTGTGTTGGGAAGTCAAACATACCTTTCTGGCAATGCGTTCCACCACAACCCTTGCCACAGGAGTAATGGCACCTCCCTCCGGATCATAAAACGGGCTTTGAGGATGATCCAGACTGGTCAAGGGACGGATCTTGTCCTGGGGCAMCGTAGGTTTGTTGGGAGACTAAAGCGAATCAAAATAAAACCACAACAACAAAATTAAGAAAAAGTGGGAAAACACATGTCTGCCATGAAGCAGTGGATCATACTGTCAGRATCTTTGTTTGTTTTTAACCAATTTGTTCCAGACTTTCAAATGACACAAAACAGATGTCACCCTAAGTAGAGTTTTCAAAGTCAGACAACAGCTGCAGAGAAGTTATGTACTTTAAAGGGGAGATTTTCTTATTAGTCAACAGTAAAGGTCTGCCAGCATGGGGCTGATAGAAGCTATGCCAGAAGCAATCTGGAGTCAGTAGACCAGCCTATTCTTCACCCCTCCAACTGAGACCACTCAGAGAGGGGAAAAAAAAAGAAAGAGAAATTGCAGTGTGTTTTTATTGTGTGAAATAGAGGAAGATAGGGGCAAGGGCAGAGAGTGGCCACTGATTAAAAGATACAGTATAAGTAATGGTACAAAGGATAGATCTCATTACTCTGTTACAGGCCTGTGCTTTTAATGACTTTGTCCCAGAGAGCCACAGTCCCCACACGTTGCAATGACTGGAGTCTCCCTATCCTCTGCTTCATTCTACAGGTTCTGGATAAAAAGTTTCTTTTTGAAAAACTTTGACAGTATGAATGCCTTCATGAGCGACTCAAAAATTCACACAAAAATAAATAAATTACTTAAAGGTGTCATTTAAATGCACAGTGTTTAAATAAGCACTTTATCTAAGATTCACATTTTTTTCATTTAGTTTGATGGAAAAAATAAAACACTTAAAGATCCAGCAAAACTGCATCAGATCATCTTATGAAAAAATAAGTTTCCACATTTTTCTGCTGAACTGGATGTCTGAGCAAATTGATATTTGAGATAAAAAAAACTTGCTCCAAGCAAGTTAGTTTTATAAAATTATGAGCTTTAACACAAAACTGAATGTGCTTGTCAGTACAGAGAGCCAGAGTGTCCATGTAAGTACCATCATCATGCATCTGCTAATAGACTAATTTAGTGTGTAGATCTGAGGCTGTATTTTTGTAAGTGAATCTTTATTTATTTTTACATAAATTGAGATTGTTTTACATTAATAGGCAGATAGATGCAGACTTTGATAAAAATKTATGTACAGACCACAATTTAAGGTTCTTTAATGAGTAAAACTAGAACCAAGTAGCACAATGCTCATTCAAATTTAGACTTTCTAATTGAAAGAGACGACATGGATTTTAGTGTAGATGTCACAAAAACTGTTAGTGCAGACTGGAGCACAGAACTGACAGCACTTCAGAGTGAGGATGGCAGGAAGAAAATGTTGAGGGCTGCTAAGAGTGGAATACACATGATAATGACTTCATTTTTTTTTCGTCCTGCAAGTTTAGGGGTTTGTTTTCTCTGTGATTGTATTCACATGCAAACATCACTCAAATATATATATATWTTTTTAGATAACATCCACCCCCCACCATACACACACACACACACTGCACAGCTTTTGCCTGGCTAACAAGAACAATGTGGCATATTACAAACACCCCACGCGAGGATGTTCCTGTTTTTATTGCTTCCTGCCACCGATTTCACAGAACAGAAGCTGAGATCAGCCTGCTGTGAAGAAGAATTTTCTTTTACAATGTACACTGCCAAGTGTTTGTGCTCAAAGTTGCTAGATGTGTGTTTAAAAAAAATGAAACCACAGATAGAAGCAAGAAAAAAAAAAGAAAGAAACAATAAATCCATTGAATCAAGATTGAAAGCTCACAAAAAAAAGATGGTGTGCAAGCAGGGATTGCAATGTTTTTATATCACACATGAAAACATTGAAATTTGGTAGCAGGTATATAACAATAACAAYCCTGCAATTGTTATAAAATTGTATTAGCCATGGTAAATAACAGAAACCAAAAATGAGGAAACACTTTGAAAATGAGGGGGTACATTTCTTATGAACACTTTAATGTATCTGTTTTTAAACAAAGAATTTTGATGTTTTCACATTTGCACTGACCTCATACGACACCCCACTGTCAGTACCAGCATCCCATGGGATTARGTCCTGGACCACTTTTTGGGCCCAACCACACTCTTTGGTACACAAGTCCTCTGCTGACAGGCCCACGTTCCAGTCTGGACTGGGTCCCATCATGGTCAAAAAGGACATGAGGTGGCGAGTTCGGTCAACAGAGAACTCGGCTGAKGGGGCAGCACGCCTGAGGACAAGAATGAGTTCTATATTAATGAGTGCCATTTGTAAATGTGGGTAAAGAGGGAAAAAAAGAGTGAAGCAGTTAGCGGTGACACAAATGAGATTTGGAAAACCTCCAAAGGATGTGACATACAAATGTTCTGTTCCATATTCAGCCGGAGGCTAATCTGTAGCATGTCTGCTGAAACAAAGRTCAGGTACGTGGCTCAAACAAAACCAAAAACAACGACACATTTCATTAGCCTGAATGAACTTATAACATCATACTTTTCTAAACTAATCACAAGCAAGTTGCACTAAACTACACAGCTTTCTAGAAGTTTTCTAATGTCTACATGTTTGCATATTCACAAGCAAATTTAATAAAATTAATATTTAATCCTTCTGTCATCGTTTGGTATCTTAACTTTTGGTTTAAGTATTTTATATGATCGTGTGGTTTTTATTTAGTTAGTTTTATTTTTGGTGAGTTTTAGTTTTTCAGTTGATTTTTGTTGTGTTGTTGTGTTGTCTTGTGGAGTTTGCATGTTCTCCTGGGTTTTCTCAGGGTACTCCAGTTTTCCCCACACCCCAAAAATATATACAATAGTTTACCTTCAGGCCTAGACCACCCTTGCAAAAGAGATCTGTGATCTCAATGGGATCTGCCTGGTTAAAAATTGGTTATAAAAAACAAAGATGATATCATTTGTCTTTTTAATCAAGACGACTTTGATCAATTATCCATCAAAACAAATTAGTCTTTATACACATAAATTGTGTATTTCTTGTTTCAGCACTTGGTAATTCAATCATAATTCTGCCAAAAGACTAGCTCAGTTTCGTGTTATGAATACATTTGCAACATGTATTTGCTTTAATATGCAACTTCAGCCTGCAATAAATTTTGGGACACATTTTTCTTAAGCAACTGGCTCCAGATATTGCAGTTTTTGGTAAATAACCGTCAAGCTTTAGCTTCTGTCATCATGTCACAATAGTAGAACTAACAGAATGAAATTTCTAAAATCACTGACACATATTTCTTTCTCAGAGCCCAGCTGCATTGCTTGGTGTCAAAATTTACTGCACATTCTCGGGGGTTGTCCAATTAAAGTACTATTAGTCTGGGAGATATTTTTATTTAGACACAACAGCTTTAGTTGGCGTGCAAAATAGTGCATCTATGTCAATAACAGAGGCAATATTATGCCATTACAAAATTTATTCTGAACTACGTAACCCAGTGAATTTAAAAAGTGGCACTGTGACCACAAAGACTAACAAATGATAAATATTGTGTACTCACATTGCCAGACCATATCTGTCTCAGTGCTCCATTTGCCTTCCAGCAATCCACCTCTCGCCCACACACACAAATGCACATGTACACACACACTTGTACAGCTCTCTGTCCATCTGCCTTGACCAATGATTGACAGCTAAACTAATTACAAGACATTTCTCTGCCAATATAAGATTAATTAGAAATGGCAAGCTTCTTGTTACAACATAGACAATTAGCCAGTGATTCCTCTTCAGCTGTCATTATGCCCATATAAACCCATTTGACTCCAGCCAACTCAGTCCTGCCCTTGCACACTCTGCTAATGATGAAATGGTTCAYATTTCCTTGGAACACGCATCTCAACGCCAGTTTCCTGTGCTTTTTATTTGACAGAACTTTCTGAAGTTGATCTTAGAAAGCCATCTTTATCTATGCACACTAATGATAACTGACAGATTAAAAGACACAGTGCAAGAAAATAATCGAATACAGAAGGATGTAATAACTCTAATTGAGATGCTTCTGAAGTAATAGAAAAAATAAAGATTTAGAAATATGAGCTGTTGTATTTTTGGGAGTGTGTAACATTGTATTTACATTTTTCTTTTATTCCCTCATAGGCATCAGTTATAAAAAAAACAACTAAGCTGTGATATATTGCTCCCATGCTGTTTGTGTTTTGCATGGATGCAAATAAATGTGGAAATAAACTTTAAAGGGAAATMAATTATTTCATAAGTGGCTCATTGCTTGAAACACCATTATAAAAAAGAAAGAAAAACTACTGTTATCATGCCCAGATTGCAGAGTACTTATCATTAGTGGCTGGATTCTACATTTCAAAGAAACTTCTTCATATTGTTGACRACTAACTTTTTTGTAGCTGCTAATCAGATGTTAGCCACAAAACACCATTAGTCCTCTGWTTCTAAGAAAAATGCCTGACAAATTGAGAGGGTGACAACAAGGAGTCATGATGATGAGTGTCATAGGAACACAGAGGCTRCTGGGAAACTATTTTAACCCAGACAAACAGGAGAAATGCTCAATAGAGCAGATGAACTAATGRATTTCTGTCATTGTAATCCACCACAGTGTAAAGTTTCACATTGTTTGTGACCAGCTAAGAGTTTTTTTCCCCATTATTATTATTCACTCAGTGATTATTCAATACTACAGCAAGTTTTAAGAACTCAGATCAAGCTTTGCTATTGAGGTTAATGATGAATAAGCCAAGTAAACCCTCATAAATAAAACAGGTTTGGGTCTCTCAGAGAACATGAACAGGCAAAACTTCCATTAAAATACTATGTAATAATACATTAGCATACCATCRAATCAAATCCCCGTTATTTGTTAGTACAATAGTTCTTTTTTGTTTGTTTTGTTTTCTTTTTCTTCACAACATCAAGACAAATTCCATTTGTCCTTGCATTGCTTGTTGGTATTTATGGGACTGCTTTGCACATGCAGTTACAAAATGTGCCGACATAAGCAAGCACACTGGTTACATATTGAACTAATAAAGACCCTTTAAACATTTAACACAATATTTTTTTTCATATCTGTGTAAAGCTGACCTTTTCTATAGGCTTTTTGTCTATACATATATGAATTATTCTGTGGAGTTATTACTTCAATAAATAGTTTTCTTTGCTTGTTCCAAAGCAGTACTTCTGATCCATGCATAATGCTGCATACAGCTTCTGTGGGAAATTATTAATGGATTGTATATAGACCACACAATCACCTTGTTAGCTCTGGTGGATATCATTGCTTGCATTAAAGGTTGTTTTTTTTTTTCAGTATGGAGACTAATTTCATGGCCCTCAAAAAGCTCCAGAAATATAGTGATTTGCTGCTAGATTTTATGCACTTGTGTTTTGTACAAGCTGAGTCAAACAGGTTTTAGTTTTTTCTCATAAATAAGAAATTATATGGCTCCAATGAAGCTGAGAWTAAATGAACGTGCACGAGTGTATTCAGTTTTACATTTATTTTATGTGTTTGCATCCCAGTTCTTGAGCCATAACTTGAGTTTAAAAAGCTTCTTGATAAAACAGCTTTGATTAAGAAAAAATACAATTATTTGAGCTTGGTTTTTTGAGCACACATCGTTTCACAGTTGATTCTGAATGTTATTTTAATCAGTTTCTATGTAAATGTAATACACATTACGACATCAAATCTAATCAAACATAATTAATCAAAGAAAATATTGTATCTAAAATAATGACCCACTGTTTGCTACATACCAAATTGCTGTACATACAGTAAATCAGTTTTAAACAAATGCCAAATTAATTTTCAATGATGAGTTCAATTATATAT